TAGAGATTGATTTATGCACTTTCACTGGAAAAAAGATGACATGCAGAATAGCATGTAAGGCGCAGCAAGGGGTGGTTGCTACTGAAAAAAGTGCTATTTTTAGGCAAAAATTCAGTCTCAGACGAGCAGAAACCCGAAACTGATTTGAAAATGGCTTCAATTCAATTTCTTTAAACAACAGATTATTAAAAAACAAGTGGTACCTGATCGGAAAACGTGCTCGCAGCCATTTCAACAGTGTTATCACCTGTAAGAGAAATAGAGAATCATCGTTTTTCTATAAAAAAAATCAAAAATTCACAAATCTAAAAGGTCAAAGTTCAAATCAAACGCCAAACAAGGGCCAAACCACAAAACAAAAATTCAAAAAGATCAAAAAATCCAAAAAGAAGCAAACCTCAAGCCTGCCGGAAAGAAAAACCAATATTGTTCCAGGACCTTTTTGACTGTGAATTTTGCAGACTTTTTGGTATGCAGCAGCAAGATAATCTTCTGGAGTTTGTTTCTCAAAATGAACCGTCACCGGATACTGTCTGGCATCGATTTTCAAAGCGGGCGGTAATGGACCGGTAAAAAGCCTAAAATGCATTTTTTAAAAATGCAAAGCGAAAGATTTTGGAAGCTAAAATTTGCGAAAAATGTCCCTGATTTGTTTTCAAAATTTCTTCAAAGCAGAAGTAACGAACGAATTAAAATTATCAGCAAATTCCCCGTTTGGCGAAACGGACTGGTCAAAGCAACTTGAAGAAATCCCAGCTAGATAGTCAGGCTATAAAAATACAGCTGCTCCGAGTGTATCAAAGATTTGCCAGCATTAATGAGGCCCAATTGCGAGCCTGAGACTTCATATATACGACTTAATGGACCGAAATATTTTCATCCAACCCCCTTCACCTCCCCCCATGGGCTATTTATATAAATCCGATGTAGTGCAATAAAACCACAAATTCCTTAAACTGTCGCAAAGCACGAAAAAAGTTTTTTATAAAACCTTTTATTCCGGAAATC